ACCTTGCATTATCAAAGCTTAAAAGACTATGAAGATGGTGGTTAACGCTATAACTTACACAATTAAATAACTGGACATTTAAAAGTGGAAGCACATTTTTTCCGTTAAAAAATATCAAAAAAGGAAGATCGCTAATATTTCATCCAGAAATTCGTACATAATCTGTTAGAAAGTCACTGAATAGATCAAATAGAGGAAATTCTTTCATAGTTAGAGTCCGTTTTGCATGTTTATGAATTTAATATAGCTATATACTTCGACGAAATAACTAAAATATGCAGTTCAGGAATTGGTAGGTGTGTAATTAGGTTCACTTATTAGTTGTTAGTGTTCAGTATTTTGTATCTCGAAGAATGGTATGATCAATAACATCATTTACCAAATCAAAGGTCTTCTATTCAAGTCTGATACATTGGTTCTGTATAACTTTTAATGTAAGTGCCAGACCGTGACCGAAACAGATAGGTCGAAAGCAACGGAATGTCACCCGCTTCTTTTTTATTTAAAGGCCATATATCTATAGCGTATTTTATTATCATTGTCGTATGATAACTGTATGGGTTTATTTTTAAGTGCATACTTACTAAGTCACTCTCCGCATTTTCTTTATCTGGGAAGGATTAACATTTTAGATCATAAATTTTTTGAGGATTTTCCATTTCAAAAATATAGTAATACTCATGGTTTACTAAATACATGCGATGACGTAACTGAGTCTTGTTCATTAAAGTTTGATTCTTATTCTCCCTTTGATATGCATGTTCTGCAACAGTTAGTAACTGATCCGAACAATCTAACTGTACAGGTTTGCAAGCGAATAGCTGAGGAATGCTTAGCGGAAATGGATAGGTCTAGGCCTAACTGCACAAAATGTGTTATCGCATACATTAGGAAACAGAAAGCTACTGTCAAGTAGTCCACCATTAATACCGTACCCTTAGATCATTGCGTTTTGATGGGATAATAACTGACATTCTGAATGAATGCATACACCAATCCTAGGTCAGTTTTCAATGAACCTCTAGATTCTAGAGGCATTTACATTTACTAGGTAAATAATTTTGAAGCAGTCACTTGCTGCACCTTCTATGAAGTATGTTTGTTCGTCTGCTGAATTTTTCTGTAACCATTCTAATAATCCTCACCTTCAAGACATGAAATGCTGAACGAAAAATCTCCGTTTGGTCATTGCAAAACCAAAACAGGTTACAGCGAAGATAATTATCTTTTCGATGTCTCATTTCCCCTCGCAACTGTACATTCATAAATATAAAAGCAAACTGATAGAATGTTCCAGACAAGTTTCTGCTTAGATGTCAAAATCAATCGATATGTGTATGTAGAATATGAAATCATATTACGTAGCGCCATATATGATTTAAATAGTTTCTATGAAATGCAGTGAACAGTAAGACTCGGTATCTGGTAAAACAATATAAATGTGCATGCAATAAAACAAATAAATAAGAATGAATAAAATACAAAATAAACTATAAACAGAGATGCAGAGTACCTAATTTGGGCCATGGTTAAGAGAGTGTTTGTTTCTTTTGAATACAAGTTCAATTGCTACTATGGAGCTGAGTACGTCAGTCGTATCACACACTCTCGAAAAATGCACTCGCAAACATTACCCAGACTGCTTACAGAACGGTGAGCACAAAATCATCTCCAGTTCTATCGCTGAACATCTCGTAGACCTTGGACATATGGCTCCTGTGGAAATCACGTTCAAAGTTCTACCAAACCGATCAAAAAGGGTGAGAATTAGACACTTATGTGCAACTGAAGCCTTAGCAACTCACAGCCTTGAACCTCAATGGTGTATTCAAAAGAGACATATATAAACACTCACTTTACCATGGCCTTAATTAGGTACTCTGCACTTCTGTTTATATTGGTTTATTTGTGTTTTATTGCATATATATTTATACTATTTTACCAGATACCGAATCTTACTGTTCACTAACTTTTATAGCAACTATTGAAATCATATCTAGCGTTACGTTATATTCCAACTTATGCCACCTGTGGCGCCGTCGTGATATCCGATTGTCTATTAAGGGTCGCGTATGTTGCACAGCAATCCGCTCTGTTCTACTGTGTGGCTGTAAAACATGGCCATTGAAGGTGAAAGACATGAAAAGGCTTAAGATGTTTGACCACCATTGCCTTCATAGTATAGGCCGTATTCCGTGGTGTCACCACATGAGTAACGCTGACGTCAGGTTTAGAGTTTTAGGGAGAAGAGGTAAGTCAGTTGACATGGCTGTGAATCTTCATCGACTGAGATGGCTGGTTGGGACATGTGTTACGTATGCCTAGTCGCTGATTGCCTCGTCACACAATGTTGGCCGAAGTAGGTGTAGGCTGGAAAAAGGCTCGAGGTGGCCAGACTAAAACATGGCACCAATGTATGAAGTGTTTGACTGTTGGTTTGAGCCATGTGGGGCGATGCAGACTAGCTGATTGGGGTCCGCAGGACAAGAGAAACCAGTGGTTTGAGACTCTAGGTGATATGGTTGAGAACCGATGTCAGTGGCGCAGATGTATACAGATATTATCCTCATCGTTAACAACGCTATACCGAATCTCACCATTTTCTCACTCCTTTCTCTCTTTTGGCACTTTATATTTCTTCTGACTAAGTTTTCTATTCTTCATCTTCCATTTCACTGCCTTTTTACTTGACATACTGATATGAGATGTGGCAACTCGGACCATTACACAGTAATGCCTGGTCCTATGTTAGTTTGAATGATGTATGGGTGTTGCGTAATATCGCTTTATATCCTTCATACACACATCGACTGATTTTGATCTTTCATAAGAAACTTGTCTGGAACAATCTATCATTTTGCTTGTGTATTTACGAATGTACAGTTGCGAGGGTAATTAGTCGTCGAAAATATAATTATCTTTGCTGTAACCTCTTTTTTGTTTCTTAAATACTGCGAACTAGCAGGCAATACATGAACGGCATTACACATACGAATTTCTGACTTGGACATTTAAGTTTATAGTTTTATCTGAGTATTTAAGTGTATTGAAATCATAAGCGTGCAAAGTTAATTAGCTTGTACATTATTTTTGGTAAATTACGAAAGCAATCTTCCCTAACTTCTTGTATATGAATTTTTGGAAAAAAAATATTAGTTCAGTCTTCTTTCTTTGATCCTTGTTAGCAACGAATGAAATAGTTAGCTTCTATTCAACTTCCATCTGAAAGGATAGCTTCATGTTATCTTGTAACTTGCTAGCTATTTTGGCAGTCTATAGTATAATAATGGTCGTAATTAACTTCAGAAGGTACTGTGAAGTCGTTTATTTTCTAGAGAAGACTCTGGAACATTTACATCTTATCTAGATAGAAGAAATTCGAAGTGGTAAGTCATCAAAAAACATGGATGTGATATGACTCTCATCTTTAGTCACTGCTTTCAGATAAGGTCGTACTTGGGATATCATCGTGGAGCTATGGCTCAGTAGTTTAGGGAGATGACTACCAACCAATGGGTCACTGGTTGAAGTCTCGCTGCACCTACCGAGGTTTGGGCAGCCACATAGTATCACTAGCCCTCTCGCAAAGTGTGGCTCATTACCTACTGCACGGATGTGCATGTGGTGAGTGAGTGCGTTTCGTTCGTTCTTTCTGGATACCATCTCTGTAGTTTGCTGCATGCAGTATTTAAGACGATAAGATTAATATTTGAAAGCTGATGGACCACTGCATCCATGTCTTGAACAATACTTCCCTTTTTCAAGTTTCTGCAAATAAATTATGATATTTTGGACATCACGTCATCACCAGTAGCAGGCACTAACACATATTCAACTGTCCAAATGATCGTAATGTTGTCACAGAAACTTAAAAGAGGAAATTGGCGTTCCAAGGCATGATTGCAGAGGTCAGTCGACTTTCGGGTATTCATTTTATCTTTCTAAGCATTATATACAGATGCTTAGTCTGGGTGATCTCGGGTGGTATAATTATAAAGTTTTCACTGACTGTCCAGACAAAATCATCATCCCTGACTTCAGTATGAAATCAGCTATCAGAATTGCTGCATGAGGTTAACTGGTAACTGTAACAGAACAGCACGAGTGAAAACGCTGCAATATGCTTAATATGACAGCCATTTAATGGCTGATGACATTCGGTCCATGTGCGTTAGACTACAGGTTTGAACGTCGCTCCGCCTACCGATATCTGTCTTTCAACAGAGCTCGATTATTTCGATCTGATATAATAACTGGAAATTGAAGGTATCGGTAGATACCCGTTCCAATGGGTGTCACATCTCTGGCGATAAATACTAGTTTTGAATCTCGATGGGAACACTATTACTCACTTGGATACAGGTAAATCCATCTAACAAGTCCCAAATAAAGCGAAAAGTGCATCTTTTATCCCACCAAGTAAACTATAACAAAATGAATGTTCAGATAATATCGACACATCTGTATAGGAGCACATGTATCAACAGATATCGATCAATTTGATCCAGTATAATAACGCTGAATTACAAGTGTCAGTAAATAAATAAATAATCACCTGATTATGTTTTGTATGTCTGTTCAATAAACGTTTGTCTAACCATTTTTATTTACTTATTAACTTTCATTTTCAGCTAACATCATACTGGTTTTATGTGACTAAGCAAAATGATCAATAACTATTTGTTGTGTTGAAAAATACTTACTGAAACCTTCATACTCTAGACTAATCTATCATCCGGTATATACGCTGCAGCCAATATATCTTTTCAATATGGTGTTAAGAGTGATAGTTTACTGTTTGGTACTGTCATGAGTGTGTAACATTTCTGACTGTGATATATATATATATATTACACATCAATTTCAGTTCTCTCTGTTATAAAGAGTTTATGTATCACATTAAACTTTTCTTTGTCTTATAGTTTCCTAATACTACTCACTACTTCTGAACTCATTTTTATCGTTATCTGTTAATATTTTTTTCATAAGCAATATCTTCAATGTATAACCTTTTAGTATTATTTTATTTTTATATACTTGAAGGTATACCCTATGGTGTACAATCACGATTTCTTCCTTTAATATTACGCAAAAAAGGTGTTTCGCTTACATCATTAGGCTTATACAAATTATTTCATATTCCTTGGTTATTTAAAAGTTTATATGCTCCAGTTATTGATAGACATATCAATAAACGTCTTTGGTTATTTATTACTTTCAGTGGTCTTTTCTGTTGTACATTATTATTATTTCAAGAAAGTGAACATTTAACATTGAACAGTGATAATACTTTTGTTTATTCTATTCCTATCTGCCTTTTTATGTATAATTTTTGGGCAGCATCACAAGATATAACTGTTGATTCATTAACAATTTCAATTTTAAGATTAGATCAATTATCCATAGGGAATACTATACAAGTTGTTGGATATAAGATTGGTGCAATTATTGGAGGTGGATTTCTTGCTTGGTTATCAGGTTTTATTCCACTAGGCTATCTTTTTATTTCACTTGCTTGTTTTTATGCATCTGGAATATGCTTCTGTTTAATTGGAAAGTTTTGGAAAATATTCTATGAAAATGAACATCATCAAATTTGTATCCAAGTAGATGGTAAGACGGAAAATATTGACTATAATATTATTTATACTTATCTCAGGTTTTTGTTTTTCAAGTTGATGATTTGTCTCCGAGGTTATAATAAACTTGTTTCCAAATGGTTGAAGTATCATGGATGAATATTGGCTATTATGAGAGTTGGAAACTTGCTTTTCTTTATATTTGAGATTTATCAAGCTGATTTACTTGCATTTCAGAGTGGTGGTACTCTTTCTGAAACTCGAACACAGCACCTATTATTTCTAACACCGATGCTTTATTCACTAGGATATTAAGTTATAATAGCCACTCTTTGTGCAATGGGTATAGATTGTTTGGTTCCCGTTGTTGACTGGTTTGAAATGAATTGATCAGCTTTTATATGGTATATGATTTCATTTGGGAGCGAGATGGGCATACGCTGGACCAATGAGAAGACCTTAGAAGATTTGGATTTCGCCGATGATTTATGTCTAATGTCGCGCAAACTCGAAGATCTACAGGCGAAAATTAACGAGTTGACAGAAAGTGTGGAGATCTACTCCACCCAGCATGAAGCGTGAACAAGATCCAGATTTTCAACACCAATTCAGTCAAGTCAGTGCTGCTATACGGTTCAGAAACTTGGCGTGTCACGAAAAGCACTTCCAACAAACTACAGATATTCATCAACAGCTGCCGCCTACTCTCGATACTGAAGATCAGATGGCCAGAAAGAATAAACAATAAGGAACTCTGGGAACAAACCAACCAAGAACCTGTCGCTCAACAAATATGCGGAAGTAAGTGGAGATGGATTGGGCATACACTGAGAAGGCCACGCCAAGTCGTCGAGTGGAATCCAAAGGGGAGACGACGAGTTGGGCATCCGAGGTGAAGGTGACATAGAGGAGATCATGTGATGAAGGTGTGAAAGTATCTGGGCGGTCGTGGTGCCAGGTTCAATAGACTGCAGAGAAGAGAGTACAATGGAGGCGTGCTACTGAAGCCCTATGTTCCACTAGAAACCCAAGGGAAAAATAATAATGATGATTTCATTTTGATATTGAAAATGAATATTGACTAGCAGGGAAGTACAAGACTCGTGAAGTGGACTGTTGTAAAAAGTTACAGTTTCATTGCCAAAGCTGATTTTAGCTCTTGCCAACAGACTCCGTACATTGCATCAATAAAATATACGAACATGTACAACTAGTGGTGTTGCACATCACTTTTTTTCGCTTCACAGCATATTTTTCTACAAACGTATGTTGTGGTAAGGGATGTGATTCGATCATCTGCCTTTGATGGAATTGTAAATGTTGAGATTAGCAGCGAACTTCGATTTAGTAACGTCAGTTAACTATGGTGTCTGAAACGTGTACCACATCTATCAGGTCCTCACTAATCTTACGTTATATTATCACACTTTCCTCTTACATATTCTTTTGAAGCTGTGGTTGATTGGCTGAGGTAGTACATTCTCAACCAATCGGTCGTTAGACGCATCCTTGTTCCTGCTATTTACGCTTAGTTAGTATAAATAATCTTTATAAACAAATATTACCCAGTGTCTAGCATAGAAGTCTGTATGCTGTTTATAGGTTTCACCTATTTTGTCTCTTGGTATTTCTCATTGTTTTCCCTCTTTTAATGGTTCGTTGTCATTCTGTGAAGCTTTGTGTCATCTTGAACCGGTGATATTATTAAGTCTAGGATTGTATGCTATTACAAAAAGAGATAAACTTTAGATAACGAGATGTATTTATCACGTACTTGGAAAGCCAAAACTTCAAAGAAAACAAACCAGTTTTATCCTGCACTCCCCATTTGCGTAATACTCAGTTGAAACTTGTTTCTCTGTGACATAGTTGTATGAGTCATATTAACATAATAGTTTGGAAGGCTTCTTTACCTGTACTGTTAAAGTTGCAAGCTCGATCGCTGTTATAATCACGGGACTGAAGACTTGTGTATTTCAATTAAATGTTGAGCTATCTAAAGTGAATTGTGTCAGTGTCATATATCTCACAGTTGTTGATTAGTTCTTATTTTGTTAGAAATATTTGTGTATTAGTGGAGACATTGTCTATCGGATTATGAGTGTTCAGTGGGCGGCAAGCAGTGGACCGTGTATTATGGCCTGAACGATCTGGAAGTATCATAAACCTTTACACAGGCATATGTTTTTGGTTATGTCAGTTATTTAGTATCAACTTCTGTAAATTTGGCATTTTTAGTTCTTAATCGCTTCCACGTTTATTCGCATCTCCTTTTTCTTGTGTATTATTAATTTTATTTTGAGGTGAGAAGAATTCAGAACGAGAAAAAGAGGAAGAAGAAGAAGAAGTTGAACGAAAATCGTATTCATATACAAGAGCCTTTAAGATAGCACTAGTTGATTCAGTGGATTCACGTTATCTCATAGCTCTTCTGCTTATCTATAAACTTGGTGAACAAGGAGCTATGAATATGCTACCTTTAATGCTTTTTGATCGAGGATTTACTATGTCAAAAATTGGATTTTGGACTGGTGTACTTGGTCAATTGGCATCTATTACTGGGTCTGCATCTGGACATTATGTTCAAAAACATTTCAAGTATGTCTGTTTAACCTGAATACATAAACCTTTATCTGTTACTTACCTTCTCATTACTGTCTATTCTAATTACAACTTAGGATAAGGACGATTAAGGTTTGGTGCTGTCTGAGATTTGATATTTTGTTTTGAATGTTTCATGACCAGGTTTAGTGACATACTTAGCACTACAGAGTTAGTGTGTGTGGGTGTTGCCGACTAGCAATCCATTTAAGCTATGAAAAAGACGCTGCTTACTGCATAGGTAATCAATGTGACTGTCTAAGATAGCTGTGGTTTGGCAGACTTTTTTTATTGATACTGGATGATATATCTATCTCAGATAGTCAAACTGATAATCAATCTGATGCTTCCCCATCTTTAATTCAAGTAGATTTGAATGGGGATGAAAAGTCTTGACTAAGCGGCCAGTGTGAGTATGATTAAACGATAGTAACGCACCACGAATTCACTTAGAAGTTGCGCAAAACCCTTGGGGATTGAAGTAGAATGAAAAAAAACTTGACCTAAAGTCGGGTCTCTCAACAAAGTTAGTAAAGCATCAGGTCGGAAACCCGGTGGTCGCTGGTTCAAGTCCTATCGTGTCCCAAATGTTCATTCCACCTTCAATAACCACTCAGCACCATATGAGTATTGAAGAGTGGATTACAAGGAGTGAAATTAAGTGTAGGTTACCCGGGTGGGTTTCCCAATTATATGCCATGGGTCAATGGCTGGTGACTTACGAAGAAAAAGTACATCAAAATCAACCACAGTAGCTCAGATCTGATCACATTTTATAATCTTAAAATTTTGGACGCCTTATTTACCTTCGTTTATTGTCTTTTCTCTCATGCAGTCTCCCCCTTGTTTCATTATCATCCTATCCATATACACTTCCTCTTTCTATAGTGTTTTGAATTGTAACAGCCCGATCTGATGTATTTATTGTGCAACACCATCAGTCGATTTAACTTCTTGATGATATTTAACAAAGGATGGTATAAGGGCGGTATCACTTGCGTTACCTGTGGTGTCGGTGAGATATCTGGCTATCTATCAAAGGACGAGTTCACTGCGCTGCAGTCCTTTCTCTTCTGTTAATACACCTGTGAGACATGACCACTAAAAGTAGGAGACATGAAGCGAATTACACAGTTTTGACCATAGATGTCTTCGTAGCATTTCTGGCGTTCGATGGAATCACCATGTAAGTAATGTTGAAGTCAGACTATAGGTAGTGGGGAAGACAGGCCAATGGATTGATGAGATTGTGAAGCTTAGTCAACTGAGATGGTTTGGACATGTTCTGCCCACGCAGGGCCACCGCCTACCTCGAGTAAGTTGGATTAGGATGGAAAAGGGTTCAGGATGGCCAGATCAGTCGACGAAGTCTCTGACTGTTGGTTTGGACTGTATTGGGAGAGGTGGACTGCCTGTCTGGGGTCTCCAAGACGATAGGGATCAGTGGTTGAGGATACTTGGTGACAAGGCTGAAAATCTATGACAATGGCACAGATGTATTCTGTCCTTGACACTAACCATTATCTTCAGATTGTTTATTCTCGCAGACGGTTTTGTCTACTTTGATATCGCTGTTCTTGTATCCACCTGTTCTTTGTGTATTTTTGTGAAGTGTGGCAACTTTAGTCGATGCAGTTATTTGAGCGGTTCTACGTTGATTTTGTGAGTCAGAGAAGTAGTTGCATACCATACATCTTATGAGCTGTCATTACTATTACATTGCTATTAAATAGTAGAACACATAAGGAAGTTGCATCATAACCGCCACTGATTTTAACTATCAACCATAGATAACAGTATGTCAAGTAAGATGAGTCTCATAATCTTTTTGAGACTAGACAGGATGATTTATGATGCTCCAACAAATGCTAATCGAAACATTCTTTATTCCTTAATCTCCTTCAATAAACTGACTACATGTCAGCTTTCTCTTACCAATCACAGAGTTATCAAACAATGAAGTCATCTACTCGACTTCATGAATTGGTCTAGACTTTAAGGTTTGGATTATGGAATGTTTTAAATTAGTGATTGGATAATGTAAATTAAAATCTTGATCACAATGATACAAACACACCGTCTTCATCTTTGGGTAAATTCGAACGCCTCGCTACTCTAGACAAATTTGTTTTTCGATCATTAATAGCTGAATTCTGGTGTCAAGAAATATGACAATTTGCTCACCTCAGTGATAGCATAATTTCTCAAGTATATTTTTGATCCATCTAGAGGTTTATGAATTAATTTTCGGTCGGAATTCATCATGGGCTGACATCAGTTAGAGGAACATTAGAAACCAGAATTAGGAAATGTGGTCCATTGGATTCTAATCCAGTGGCTCAATGGCAACGTGCTGACTACGGAACTTGAAGGTCCTGGGTTCGATCCATGACGGTGAGAGGCCATAGGTGTACATTGCTAAGGTGTCCCATACTGAGACGAAACAGCTGTTCAGTACTCCTATTTTGAGTGTTTATCAAAGTTTTATTGTTCACTTGTTGAGACATGGTAGGTGTCTGTCTGCCAAGTTGGGTCACAATGACGTTTCCACTTGTAAGTTTCATTGAGTAACTAAAAGTGATTGAGTATAGAGTAGAAAAACGTGTACATTTATACTTAGTCGCTAACATTCAGGTAACTGTTTCATCTATATATGTGCAACAAATCGATTTGTAGATTTGTAAAGGTATCTAAGATGACAGTTTTATCATCCATCTTGTGAATAATGATATTCATAACTTTTTAATCTGTTAACAATTTTAGATCTCCACTCACTTCTATTCTGTATCTGATGATAATTCGTGTATGCCTTCAGTGTCCCATATTACTGATTGCTTTCGAGTCTATTTCAATAAAAATACCCAACTTATCTTTTTGTAAGTTATGTAATTTGTGAATAAAACTGTTATTTTTAATTATCTATATTTATCATTATCATTATTACAATTTAAGGTCGTTAAATAAACTTACAGTGACGTAATTATTTGACGAGGTAAATTTGTTTCCTAGTGAAATTAGCATGACCTTGTTTGACTCCTGCTGTGAACCAATCACTTGGATTTCAATCATTCTTTATAAGGTTCAGTTCAGCAAACAAAACTATGTTCTAAAACTATGTTCTAATTGAACTAGTGCTCGTTGGTGACTAGCTTCGAGAAGTATTCCCGAAGTTCCAATGACAAGTCGTGACCGGTGGAGTCAAGCCTGATGGCCATGAGGACAAATACTCATCGATGACATTAGGTGGCGGTTCGCGCTATATCGTGAGCTAACACAAGTTGGAAATATGGAGCATTGGATTCTGACCCAGTGGCTCAATGGTAACGCGCTGGTCGCGGAACCTGAAGGTCGCGGGTTCGATCCCTGCTGGTGGGGTCGTGGGTGCGCACTGCTGAGGAGTCCCGTACTAGGACGAGACAGCTGTCCATTGCTCCCAGGTTTCCTTTGTTCCTCCAACTGATGTCAGTCTTCGATGAATAACAACTTGAAATATTTCCAAATCTCCACAACCCCCTCAAAATTTAATTAAAACTATGTTCTGTTGGGTGAAGATACCGAAAAAAATATGAAGTCTTCTGAATGCATTGAGGAAGATATGAGTATGGTTGACATGCGTCTTGTTGGCAGCTGTCAAATGTATGACGATTTTTCAGGACTGGTCTCCAACCACTCCCAGTTTGATGATAGTGAGTGAAGGTGTGGAATGTATCAACCACTTCACTTACATAAGAAGTTGAATACGTCTTAACGGGCTAGTTGCTGATGAAATCTCTTCTCGAATACAGAAGGTCCGTTTGTCATTTGCCAACTTGTATCATCTGTGTCGCCGACTGCTGAGATATCCAACTATGTATTGAAGGACGAGTATAGTGCATTGTAGTCCGTTCTGTTTTGTTATACACGCGTGAGACATGGCTGCTAAAAGTAGGAGAGATGAAGTGAATTACAGAGTTTTGATCAAAGATGTGTTTGCGGTAATTTTTGTGTTTGTTGGAATGAGCATGTGAGGAGTATTGATGTGAGGTGAAGGGTAATTAGGGAAGATAAGCAAGTCGATTGATGTGATTATGAACTTGTATCGACTGAGATGTTTTAGACATGTACCGTGCATGCCAAGCCACCTCCTACCTCGATGTACCATACTGGTGTGGGAAGTTGAATTAGGTTAGAGGAAGACTTCGAAGACTAGCACACGAATAAGTCTAGTTTGATATCACTTTTTCTATCCACCTGTTCTTTTCGCATCACTGTAAAGTGTAGCAACTTGAGCTAATGCATTGGTGTACGAGGTTCTACGTGGATTTCCACTGTCTATTTTAATTATTATTTCCGTAAATAATTATGGTTAATTTACCATCTCTACTTGTGTACATAAATATCATATCCATCCACCCGATAATTTGAAGAAAATCTTGTTCGAAGTTGTTTTCTCATTTGATCTTTATACCGTTAAGAATTTTGAAACTTAGACGGAATACACCTATACTACCGTTTGACTTTACAGCGTCTGCCTCTAAAACCAGTTTCTTGTTAGACTTATTTCTAAATTATTGTAATCCTCAAAAGTAAAAACATGGCATTTTTCAAGGAAATTTATAATCTTAGTATAATTGTTTTTATATGATACCGCCGTTGATTGGTGGGAACAACATCACTCACTGCGAAGCAGGTACATCCAGCTGACGAGTCCCCAATAGGACAAAATGCGCATTTTGGATTCCACTGCTAGCCACGATTCATCATTAACGAAATTTATAATCGTCAGTTTACAAATTATTGTACCCGCAGACTTAACGTAAAATTCTGCACAGCTGATCAGAATGCTTATTTACCTGTCTGACTGACAGTACTGACGGCAATAAACGATTAAGTGTTTTCAGTCAATCGTTAGGCTTAGTAATCACATGCAAGTGTGTAGGTCTGTTTAAGCCTTACCTAATGTATGGATGTTGATGATCGCCAAGACTTTAGTAGGTAAAGCAAGGTTTAAACCCGTAACCTACTGGTTAAAAGTGATGACTCTCTCTTATCTTTGAAAATTGGTGAATATCAGAAGGCAAAACAAGTGATAAACAGTTGTTCGTTACTTGTAATCTCTTTTTCCTATACTCGGTCAAATTACTCAACCTCTGCTATGCGGACGCCTCGATACTGCCTGATCAGTCACCAGCATCTTGTCCTTCAGTGACCTAGTGGATAGCGCTTTGAAGTTTGGATCGATGGGTACTGGATCCGAGTCTCAGTGCAAACAACATCACTCACTGGGGTACAGGTACATCCATCTGACGAGTCCCTAATTAGAACGAAACGTGTATCCTGGATTCCACTGCTAGTCACTGCCCATTATTACTGCAAACCTCATATTACATTTTGTTTTATGGTATAATTTAATAGTTACGTTGAGTTGTTCTCTGAGCTATGGTTTTGGTTGGTGAACGTCTCATTATCATTCAAGGTATCATCATCAGTGTTCCACAATAGGGTAAATTTCAACGCGATCAGATGTCAGTTAAAGAATCAGTAAAAATCAGGAAGCCTTGACAAGACTTTCATTCTTCACTGTCATCTCGTGTAATCTTCTAGGATAAAAAACAGATATTCTTTTGAAGACTGTAGTATATATTCTGACCAGAAACCATGGTCATTGATGTTTGTTTTTAAGACTGAACTTTTATTCACCGATATGTTCTGTCACCTTCTTTCATTGCATTGCTGTTCAGTTAATCTCCCATTCTTCGTACCGATAAAGTATCAGTTAAGCACATGAGAATATAAAGCTTTGCACAGAAGTTTGTCAGTTTAAAATGTCACAGATCAAATCAACCCAGAACGAAAAGGATATGGAATGTGAAATAATTAGATAAATGAATATTAATGAACTATTCTAAACGTCAGTATGAATACATTTTGTTTACCATAATCAAGATTGTGCCGCTTACATTGGAAAATTTCCAACTATTGGCATCCAAGTGACACATACGCCAACAAAGCAACCTACACTTTGCTATATAACTCGGAACAACATTTACAGAATTCATGATTTGTTGTCATATCTTCTTTTGTTTGCATAGGGTCCTCTTTTCGAAGGAAATCTCAATCTCCTTTCGCTTAGCATTGCTTAGCTTGGTTGCCACATTGCAAATATGATCGATAGAATTCGATCTGCACTCAGAACTAGACAATATGAAATTGGTTGCACTCCCGTGACCAATCAATACATGTAAGCCAGTCTTACAGGAGGTCAGTCGCGGCCCGAATAGCCCAGTGGTAAAGTCACTGACTACAACACTGGGTGACACGGGTTCGAATCTCAGGCGGGACATAAGTTTCGTCGAGGTTGCAGATATACGCCTTGCTGACGAGTGCCAAAAAGCACTTCGTACCGATTGCCTCCAACCAACTAAAACAGTACACCTTCCTGTGTAACACATATTCTATAAGCTGGTCTGTTGACTTGTTCCCTTTATCAAGTGATATACATGTATGGCAACTGAAACCCACATACACTATTAGGTTATGTTCTGCATTGTTCTGGTCAGATAACGCTGAATATGGCTAGATAGCTTTATACACGTTACTACTTTTCTGTGAGTACCATATGAATAAAGAAAGAACAGCAGAAAAACTTTTAATACTTGGTGTTGTAAATCTACAGAGTTGTTTCCAACAGTACCACTCTATTTCGCCCCATTAGATGTATTATATAGTGAGAAGAGTATTATTTACTGGGTAACTATTTGAACTGAATCTATTACAATCATGGATGAGACTTTCATCTGAGGATGTGGAAGATGTTGGTCTTGTGTTCTCTGTCTACACATGTTTCATAACCAGACTTGGTGACACATCCTCAGCATTAATTTCTTAAAGAAGTGAAACATATTCAAAGGTTAGACAAATATGTAGGTGATTGTGGAGATTTGGAAATATTTCAAGTTGTTATTCATCGAAGACTGACATCAGTTGGAGGAACAAAGGAAACCTGGGAGCAATGGACAGCTGTTTCGTCCTAGTACGGGACTCCTCAGCAGTGCGCACCCACGACCCCACCAGCAGGGATCGAACCCGCGACCTTCAGGTTCCGCGACCAGCGCGTTACCATTGAGCCACTGGGTCAGAATCCAATGCTCCATATTTCCAACTTGTGTTAGCTCACGATATAGCGCAAACCGCCACCTAATGTCATCGTTGAGTATTTGTCCTCATGGCCATCAGGCTTGACTCCACCGGTCACGACTTGTCATTGGAACTTTGGGAATACTTCTCGAAGCTAGTCACCAACGAGCACTAGTTCAATTAAATTTTGAGGGGACGAAACAGCTGTCCAGTGCTCCCAGGTTTCCTTTGTTCCTCCAACTGATGTCAGTCTTCGATGAATAACAACTTGAAATATGTAGGTGGTGTTTTTATTGACCATGAGTGGTGTCTAACTGTAAGTTAGTTAGTTGGTGAAGAGATTTTTATAACATCTTGACTTTAAATTACCCTCATTTGCTCTGATAGAGGTTCTTTGTTAGACTGATATTATGCTGCTTTTTGTTAACATCAGATTGTGCTTGATTATTGATTTTTTTTTGTTGAGCGGTGTGCATATGTTGATTAATGAAGGACTGTTTTCATTGTAAGTAGATTTTAGATTGTATCTATTGAAATATCATACCTCTAGAAATTCTCTTTCAGCTCTTGAACCTATTCTTTGAAGGATTGTCAAATTTCTTCAATCGAAATCTATGATTATGATTACATGAATGCACCGAAAGTGAGTAGGCTATGTCAACTTGCTTTACTGATAACTGGTGTTTATGAATTCTTTGAATAATTTGATGGCTAGACTGATCAACTTAGTGATTTGAATAATCTTTGCAGTATATTTTATATATATCACATTTGTTCAGCATTCCTTTGGTAACAAATGCTTTAGCTTCCATATCATGAAGTAGTCCGTTGGCAGTTTCTGAGACGTTTTTGATATAGAGTTAGAGTAACGTACTATATTGGATTCAAGATAAGTTCCTTATCATCTGTTTTACTGATAAACACGTTTTCACAAAGTAGAGAAGATAATAATTCCCTCTAAATACTTTGTACAAATAGTTTTCTGTTTTCTTCAATACATCATTGCTGCAATGTGTTTTACCTCCTGAGAATAGTGTTTGTAAACAACATTTCTGATGAACTATGAAATGATTCTGCACTCAGCATGCAGAACAAGATAAGGATTTTCAACACCAACTTCAGTCAAGTCAGTGCTTCTGTATGGATCAGAGACTTGGCGCGTCACGAAAGGGATTTCCAATAAACTACAGACATTCATCATCAACTGCTTACGCTGGCTCGCTACTGAAGATCAGATGGATTGCCAGAAAGAATAAGCAACAAGGAGCTCTGGGAACGAACCAACCAAGAACCTATCAGTCAACAAATATGCAGGAGGAAGTGGAGATGGATTGGGCATGCACTGAGAAGGCCGACTGAGGACATCACGCGTCAGGCCAGTCCCTCGAGTGGAATCCTCATGGGAAGCAACGAGTTGGACGTCCGAGGGTGACATGGAGGAGGTGGTGCGAGGAGGAAATGAGAGGTTGTGGGCTGTTGTGGAACCAGGTTCAAAAGATCTCAGAGAACAGAGGTCACTGTAGACGTGCTACTGAAGCCATATGTTCCACTAGAAACCCAAGGGACTAATAATAATAATAATAATAATAATAATAATAATAATAATAATAATAATAATAATAAATTAAATGATTGCTATTGTAGTTCAAACATCTTGGTTTCCATGCATATAAACAAACATGACTGAAGAAATTTGACAATCCTTCAAAGAATAGGTTCAAGAGCTGAAAAAGAATTTCTAGAGGCATGATATTTCAATAGATACAATCTAAAATCTACTTACAATGAAAACAGTCCTTCATTAATCAACATATGCACACCGCTCAACAAAAAAAATCAATAATCAAGCACAATCTGATGTTAACAAAAAGCAGCATAATATCAGTCTAACAAAGAACCTCTATCAGAGCAAATGAGGGTAATTTAAAGTCAAGATGTTATAAAAATCTCTTCACCAACTAACTAACTTACAGTTAGACACCACTCATGGTCAATAAAAACACCACCTACATATTTCAAGTTGTTATTCATCGAAGACTGACATCAGTTGGAGGAACAAAGGAAACCTGGGAGCACTGGACAGCTGTTTCGTCCTAGTACGGGACTCCTCAGCAGTGCGCACCCACGACCCCACCAGCAGGGATCGAACCCGCGACCTTCAGGTTCCGCGACCAGCGCGTTACCATTGAGCCACTGGGTCAGAATCCAATGCTCCATATTTCCAACTTGTGTTAGCTCACGATATAGCGCGAACCGCCACCTAATGTCATCGTTGAGTATTTGTCCTCATGGCCATCAGGCTTGACTCCACCGGTCACGACTTGTCATTGGAACTTTGGGAATACTTCTCGAAGCTAGTCACCAACGAGCACTAGTTCAATTAAATTTTGAGGGGACGAAACAGCTGTCCAGTGCTCCCAGGTTTCCTTTGTTCCTCCAACTGATGTCAGTCTTCGATGAATAACAACGTGAAATATTTCCAAATCTCCACAATCACCTACATATTTGTCTAACCTTTGAATATGTTTCACTTCTTTAAGAAATTAATGCTGAGGATGTGTCACCAAGCCTGGTTATAAAACATGTGTAGACAAAATATCAAAGCTCAGAGAAGACGATACCCATCGTCACAATCTGATGTCTATATTGATATCAAGCTTCATGATTTTGTATCACGGATTTCATTGTGATGATTTGTAACCTAGTGACTAGTCGATTTGTCATAAAGTTTTACGTGAAGCCAATAGCTATATCGTTTCTATCATACATTTAGAACACACGATCAGTACAGTATGGGCGCCGAGACATCTGCCATATGCAGTAATAACGCAACACTAAGAAGATAACAACAGATGAGAATGTTAAATTCAGGATCGGTAAAGCAAGATAGGCCTTCATCAATCTGAAATCAGTGTGGAGGTCTACTGCACTACACTGGACTCAGCATAAAGAACGAGATCTAGATTTCTAACACTAATATCAGTCAAGTCAGTGCTTCAGTATGATGGTAGAGAGACTTGACGCGTTACGAAAAGCATTTCCAACAAACTGCAAACATACATCATCAACAGGTGCAACATGCTCTCACTCAATACTGAAGATCAAATAAGCAACAAGGAATTCACTAGTAACAAACAACCAAGAACTCATCGCTCAACAAATATGCAAACGAAGAAAGTGGAAATGGATTGGATTGGGTATACACTGATAAGACGGTTTGAGGACATCACGTACCTGATCGTCGAGTGGAAGCCGAATGGGAAAAGACTAGTTGAACGTCCGAGGGTGATGTGAAGGAGATCGTTTGCGAAAGAAATGAAAGCTTGTGAGCAGTCTTGGATCCAGGTTAGGGAGACTGGAGAGAAGAGAGTGAAATAGAAACATGTCATTGAAGCCCTATGTTCCACTAGGAACCCAACGGACAAATAATAATAATAATAATAATAATAATAATAATAATAATAATAAGGCGACAGTAATGGAAGAGAGAATAGAAACAAAGTCAGAAGAGAGTTATTGAGGAATCAGTCTCAAAGATACACTTCAAGAAGTATTCACTACTTTCACTGTACTTTCCAATAATAGAAGAAACAAGAAAGTCGCAGCATGTGCGCTAGTAGTTTCAATTCTGAGTTATATCTGCTTTCATCATAAGCCATTAAGTTGTATGATTTCTTACGGATCTCATGGAAGCTGTCTTCAGTAAGTAGAGTGTTTTACTTTTTTACAAGTTTTTATTCTGTTTTAAGAATTTTAATTTCATACAAATTCTTCTCCTTTTTTTTTTCATCTTTTCTTCTATTGTCTAAATAATCAAGGGATTGGTTGTCTATTAATGAATTGTATATTATTCATCAGTGGAGCAATTACAACAATAATGTTCACTTTAATGATGTATTGTACGTGTACTGAAACATCGAAAGCCTATCAAGCAACTCATTATACTATATTGAGTACTGCAGAACTTTTGGGAAAACTTATGTTTGGTACACTGGCTGCTTATCTTACAGATATTTGTGGATATGCTTTCGCCAATTTGATATTTTTAAGTTTATCTATACTTCCAGTACTATATGTGAATAAGTATTGTTTAGAATTTCAATTTTGTTCATGAATTATTACTATACAACACATAGTAAATAAGCTGTATGATTTATTTTCTTAATAAATTCATAATTCCCGTTGGAATATCAAAAAACAGGCTATACAACAAAGGGGACTCGCTTCAATGAATTTATTCTTGAAGTGTACCTTTATACATATATAAAGGGGGGTGGCGATATTGTCGTGCTAGATGAAGACGCTTTTAAAATACAAGATCTTGTGGACGCGTTTAAGAGAAATCTGTATGTGTTTGGCATCCGTTTCTCTGGCATCTGTTAAATGCAAGATGATGCTTCAGGGCTGGTCTCCAACCACTCCCAGTTTGATGATAGTGAGTGAAGGTGTGGAATGTATCAACCACTTCACTTACATAAGGAGTTGAATACGTCTTAACGGGCTAGTTGCTGATGAAATCTCTTCTCGAATACAGAAGGTCCGTTTGTCATTTGCCAACTTGTATCATCTGTGTCGCCGACTGCTGAGATATCCAACTATGTATTGAAGGACGAGTATAGTGCACTATAGTCCGTTGTGTCTTGTTATACACGCGTGAGACATGGCTGCTAAAAGTAGGAGAGATGAAGTGAATTACGGAGTTTTGGTCAAAGATGTGTTTGCGGTAATTTTTGTGTTTGTTGGAATGAGCATGTGAGGAATATTGATGTGAGGTGAAGGGTAATTAGGGAAGATAAGCAAGTCGATTGATGTGATTATGAACTTGTATCAACTGAGATGGTTTGAACATGTACTGCACATGTTGGACCGACTCCTACTGCAGGAAGGTTGGAAGAGAGTTTAGGGTGACCGAACCAAGACGTTTCACCAGTCGACAAAGCGTCTTACACTTTGTCGGACACCAATGTAGAGATGTTAACTGGATGGTTGGGGTCCCAGTGAGGAAAGGAATCAGTGGTTGAGGACACTTGGTGACATGGTTGAAAATCGGTGACAATGACGGAGATGTATTTAGTCATTGACCGTCTTCTAAAGCTTCAATATTTACATTAACTGTTATCTTCAAATTGTTTATTCTCTCACACAACTTTATCTAATCTGATATCACTGTTTCTGTATCCACCTGTTCTTTGTGTACTACTGCGGAGTGGGCAACTTGAGCCGATGCCTTTAGGTGATAGTTTCTACGTTGATTTTCCCAATCAATCATTCACAAAAGGAGTGAATACATGGTGTAACTAATAAATAGTCGAATGATTGATTACATAGCATGAATGAGACAAGTTGATTGGGTTAAATTGAAAATATTTTGTTAAATATTTCAATTATGGGGAAGACTTTTGTGAAGTAAAACTGGAAACTAGTAAATGTAATCATAGTGATAATATAAGAATACAAAAATTAATCAAACAAAAGGAGAAATCGAAAGAAAACGAATAGTAATTAGGGCCGAGATATTGACTAAAACTGTACTATTACTTTTATGCATAAAGGTCAGGCTTTAATTTATGGATATAGCCAAGACTTCTGTTGTTTTTCGAAATTGAAGACGAAGAAAACTTGAGACATTTGAGTCAATTCGATAGACAACCTTAAAATTATTCATTATTTTTGGTCGGTTGAATGGTTGGCATCGATTGAATGTTCATGGATAGGACTTTTAATAGATATCCTTTCACCCTTATAAACCTAGATTGTATTATGTTCTCATATATATGTTGACAACAATCTCTGGCTACTGCCAGAGCCAACATATCGCGCTACACAGGAGTAGGTGAACTCGTAGAGGTACATGAATTTGTCTTGTTAAGGTATATTGTCTTTTACACACATACAGGACAATTTACGACTAGTGAGCGTTAAATTAGCTTTAACTGCATAAAATGTCCTACTGATTGATCTCAAAAGACTATTTTACACAATGTCTGATGTTACATCACCTTGAAATTATAGATTCATGAACAAAGTCTTTTTGAAACTGAGTTGATGAGTAGTTCCGCATATCTCTATCGCATATTCTTAACAACCGTTGTATGTCAAGGTGGAAATCCCTACTGAACTAGGTGAAACAGTCTTTAATACTGGTTCAAGAAGTATGAATATGAATAGATCTTTCAATTGTTCTACTTTGTTTGTAATACTTTGTCATAAAATGGGATATTCCATGGAGTTGTGAAGTGTGCGTGTACATGGTAAAATTATTTTGTAAAATATGTCAAGTCAATATACTCTACTGTGAGAACCTATTCGGTAGCAAATGTTGAGTGTAGATGTGTCATATTTTTGTCGATGGATAAAGTGTAACCTTGAAGAAAATCTTTCCTTTTTCGGTCTTTTAAATGCATGTAATTCACTGCAACAACCATTATCTAATTGTAATCTCTTGGGTCTGTGAATGAGCATTTGTGGAAGGTCAAATTTTTATACATATACTGATTATCGTGCTGTATGTGAATTGAAATCTACTCAAAAACCTTTTATTCATCCATGATAGAGTAGGCAGTGAGCGATATTTATTGTATAAGGGTTAATTATACCACTTAGTTTGCCCAAACTTCAATCGGTAGAGGTAGGTTCGAACTTCTGACTCATCGACTGGAAATCAAGTGACTGGACCAATTAATCGTAAGCAGTGTAATGCTATGGCTTCTTGCAAACACCGATTCGTCTTAAGCGATACAGTATGGAGCGATTTCCATAGATCAGTCGTAACTTATCTGTAAGGCAGGAAAGTTGAACAACTGTACTTCAATACATTATTTCTCATGCTGTCAATTATAAACTAGGATCTGTAATACCTCTTTGAAAGGGTCAACGAGCGTAAAAAACGAATTCATAGATTTCGTTAGTACGCGTCAGCTGAATCGTTTACATACTTGGTTACATATACCAGTAAACAGTGAAAAAACCTACATATAAATCGTAAACTGAAAATACGAATTTCTCTGTAACAACATGGAAATGTACATTTTTTATGTGTTAGGTTGTAACGTGAAAGGTAGGAGTGGATGTTCAAATTGAATAGGTTGAAGATACATTATGAATTCGAATTGTAGTGCAATCTGAAGAATCATGTGAACTTCAGATAGTGGTTGCTGGTTCCCGTCCCGCTATGCTCCAAATTTTCAGTTCACCTTGAATCACCACCCAGTATCAATAGAGATCTGCCAGACTACGGCTACCTCAGATAGTCAAAATGATAAATACTTATAATGTTAACACTGGGGTGAGAAATGAATCGACTGGGGGTAGACTACGTCATTCCGAACTCAGATGACCTCATAAAAAAGTGAGGTTTTGTATTGAGGTGAACAAAAATGGTAACAGGGATTAAGGTTATTTAAACGGAGCTACGAAATAAGTCAGAAGTATAAGGTGAGGGCAATTACAGGTAAAGAGCAAGTAGGGGAAAGTTAATATGATTAGCCGACAATGTGATTACCACTGTGGTAAGTTCAAGTTGGTGGGGCTGTGGCTTATTGATTTAGGTAGTTGACTGTCGACCAGTGGGTTCGAGCACGGCTCCACCTACCGAAGTAAGAGTGGTCAGGTAGTATTTTTGTCAGTGATCACTTCTGTGGATAGAGTGTGTGCAACCATATTTGTTCCAAACGCGTCGCAACATGAATCGGATACCGCGAGAAAATATCGCCTGGGCTTGACCAGGATCTTACAGGCCTTATCTTGGTCAAAAGACCCCAATCGAACAGACGCAACAGCAGGTGAACCAGAAAGGTATGATCAGTCAACCTGTTCGCTGTCCAATGTCTATAAACAAAATTAGTTTCAATATTAACGTAGTATTGGTACATACAGTATTCGTCAAGAATTTTGAATTAAATTACTCGTTGCGTACAATAGTACCACCAGCCATCACAAAATAGGTATGACCCTTTGTTTAGGTAACTATCATTTCCTTTTGTACTCGAAGGATTGGTGTGACAACTGGAATAAAACAGGCGTCTGTAATTGCAAAGGACTCAGAGTTATCAGTATCATGCACGTAGTGCATTAGCTGTTTCGTTATCGAGCTTTTTGGGGCCCTTATTTCTGCTGGCTTTAGACATTTAAGTAGGTGCTCAATGATTCGGGTGGATAGACATCTCTCTCCACGATCTATGTATGTCCTTCCACAGACATTCAAAATGATAGATATATCGAGGATCGGAGCCCTATTTTTGCCTGATTGTTGGAGTATTTGTTTGGTGGCTCTGAAAAGCATGATACTGATAGCTTAAAAAGTCCTCCCGATGAACTTTTCCAGTCGCAACTGCTTCTAAAGCGTTGCCCTTAAATGGTAACGTGGTATTAACCAGCATTTTCTGTACTACTGAGAATAGTGTTTTGTTTTCTATCCATTCCACATGCTTGTTGACAAAGCTTTCTGGTTACTTGTTCATTTCTAGCATGCTTTTCAACGTAGTTGTATCTTAGTCACCTGTTCTGTCAGAACATATTTCTTTGGTTCTGCTGAACAGCACTTTGACCACAGTCATTTTGTACTGGATCGGTAGAAATCTCTTAAAATGAGGGTACTGAATCATCCATGATGGCTTTCTATGATTTGGTATTTCAACAGATTCACTGCCTCGTTTCACTAAAGAGACATATCATGCTCAGCAGTAAAATCCAGGTTCAGATGACATGATTTGAAGCACTTCAGTCAAGCTTTTATTTCACCTTTGTATACAATAAAGATGACATCCGTGTGCCACTGGCACAACTCCATCCGCTTTATGAGGCATTTTAAGCTACCAGTTTCCAGACTTGGTGGAAATAAATCCACAAAACAGGATCCAGGGGGTTCAGCATTGCAGCCCCATACGTTTGAAGAAATAACCACCCACCGAACGGAGAGTGGGCTGCCTTGGTACACTTAACTAAAAGCTTCTTCAGAGTGTCCGTTGGGAGAGGGATAATTATAGGCTTCTAGACAAATAAAGTCAATGATCTCATCAACCGTACATTTATGAACAGAAATACAGCATCAAACGTGAAGTGACTGAGCAGATAACAGTAAATACGTGAGACGATACTAACGTCGATTGAAATATT